CTCTTTCCTGCTTATGCAGGGGGTCGGACTCGATGATCTATTGAGGTCCCTTCCGACCCTAACATCTATGAATCTATGAATCACTGAAAACTAGTAGCCTTAGGATAGCTTCTCACTGGATAACCACAGGCCTGGCTACATTCACTGCGGTCCATAGACTGTCATTAATTCCTAATTGGATTGAGCTTCCCAGTGTACTACCAGTCATGGTACTTGCATAGTTCTGTTTACATGAGTTTGGATTTGTGAGTCTGATAGTACATAGCTTGTTAAATGGCTTAATGTACAAGCAAAACAGCTAACGACTTACCACAGTTCACAGCTTCATTTTTCCATTTCAGTTACTCTGCAGGTTTTTCAGGCTAACTACAGATAGTCAAAAGCCCAAGGCTGAATCGCTTCAGTCTTTTCATGTTAGTCTAAACTGCAGAGATTAAACTGAGAAGCAAGTGAAGAGACATTCACTTTTGATTTAGGAAATGCAGCCGCATGCCTGCAGTGGCTCAGGCTGGAAGCTGGGGGGCATTAGAGCACGCCTCCCCGCCTCTGTGGAAAGGAAGGGACTGAAGCTCCAAGGCTTTTCCCCCTCCCTGTTGCAGCAGAGGGTGTGTGGACAGCCCAGGGCTAGCACACTGGAGAGTGAGGGTTTAAATCCCCTCGCTGGACCACACGGGACCCCAACCCGGGTCTGCCAGGGTAGGGTACAGTGCCTGCCAAGCTTCTGCCTCCCCCTCCCCCTGCTCCCTGCTTGAGGCTGCCAGCCTGAGCAGTGGGTAGGTGGGGACAAAGGTAGTGGCACTGAATTCATAAAAGCTTGAACAAGAATAGTCCTTGCTCTGAAGCGAGCAGGTATCGATCACAGCAATTTGCAACCTCAAGCACATAACAAACACCAACCAACAATCTTTGCCTAAGATAAGCCCAGTAAAACAAAGTGAGAGCGCACAGAATTTAAGTCTAACTTAAAATGAGATGTAATAAACCAATAAGACAAGAAAAAGTCTTGCATAAGTCTTACATAATCCTGAGGGCAGAGTGTCTCCTTACAGCTAGATATTCAGAAAGTCCTTCTTGGGAAATCAGCAGGTGGTCTTAGGTGCTGGAGTGGCAGTCCCACAGGCCTCATCTCTACTTGGGTTTTTACAGATGCACTTGCACCCTCTTGTCCCCCTTGTGCCTTGACATTAGTACGTTTGTCACCTCTAGCACCTTTGGCAGGACTCTTATGCATTCAGTGTCTTTGTCTCTGCCTAGGTATTCCAGTCGCCCACCTTTTCAAGGCTCTTCTTTATAATATAAATGTAGTTCTCTGCTTTCTTTGGTCACACCAGCCCAAGCAATCTGGGACCCTCTCCTGTTCCCTTAGCTCTGTCTCCAGCACATACATGTGATGATTGTGCCAGGTCTTTGCCAATGCCTTGCCCACCTCTCAGTCTGCTCTTGCAGGGGCTTGCCCTGTGCTCACAGGTGGCAGGGGACCAGGCTCTTCCCCCTCCCCCATGGCCTGGGGGAGATGAAGGGAATTATGCCCCCTCTCCCTCCCCTTATCAACTGCTTGTCTCAGTCTCTGCCATAGGTGGGGAGGGGGGTGTAGTCTGCTGGTCTTCTGCTGGTTCCCTGCCAAACATACCCTGGCTGGGATCCCGTGCGGGTAGGAGAGGGGGTTTAAATCCCCCTCCCTCCCCTCCATCTGAGCCTGCCTGCCCCTGCCCCTGCCCCCACCCCCTCCACTCCAGCTGCCCCCCCACTATCCCCCTTTCAGGCAGACCCGGCTGCAGTCCCCAGCTGGGTTTCCCACCCCCACCCTGTTGTCACAGCCCTCGCTGCTCTGGCACAGACAGCCTAGGGCTGCAAAGCATGCTGGGATACTGGGGGACTGTGATTTAACTTGAACCAGGAAGGGGTCTGGGACAGAAGTTTCATAAAATAGTTTGACCTAAATGAGTTAAGTCTGATACAGGGGTGTAGGCTGATACTACATTCAGCCAGGTTTATCACAAACCAGTTTCTGATGCTTTGAAAGTGGCTGAGTGCACTGAACTTCTGTTCTGTTACAGGGATCTGATCACTTAAACCAGTTTCTGTGTAACTTCTGTCCCTGGCCCTAGTGTATTCAGCTACCAAAGTTACCATAATAGATCCCCACTTTCAGCACAGCAAGTCTCTGCAGTCATGTCAAATGGATTAAACTACAGACAAGACTTAAGTGGAGACACGATGCACACACCAGTAAGGAAAGACAAATAGCCCAGAAGGATCTTCTGTGCAAGTAGGAGATAAAAGTAAATCCAACATGGAAAAATGCTGATGAATGCATCTGGGGGATTATTTCTCCAAAATACTGTTTTTTTAATAGGGAAGAGAGAATCAGAAGGAAGGAAGCCTTGTAAGTGATTGAGCAAGGTGTGTGGTAAAGGCAACCAAGCTCCTGTGGCTTAGTGGTGCTGCAAGTTTTAAAAAACTGACAGAGCAATGAATAGGAAAGCATTTACCATTCTCTTTCTATAATGGCTTTCAATGAGACCAGGGGTTGTGTAGCAGACCTGCTCCTGGAATGAAAATAAGCTTACTCATTGCAACTACATAATAGAAGCCTATAGCGAGGCAGCTCTCCCCAGGAAGCAATAATCAACTGTTTAGTGGCGTTGGTATGAAAATAATGACAGTCTGTTTTAGGCGAACACTTCCCACTAACTGACTCGGTCTGAACCACAACTTGTCAGGATCGCAGCTTCAACAAAGCAGAGCAGACCTCAACCCTGAAACGAGGCAGGTGGTTTCTTTAAAAGTGAACAAGTATGATCCTACTTTTGACTCATCAAGCGTGTGTCAGAAACTGCCCTGCGTGTGGTCAGCAGCGCCGTTCCCTCCTGTAGTAAAAGCCGAAGGAGGGGATCTTTTCTTTTTTCCTGGAAATTCCAGCAAGAAAAAAAATCCTCGGGGGAGATTTCTACAAATCCCTGTGCTAGTCCCCACCTCTGGGAGGAAAGCAGGTCCCAAACCCAGCAAAATCTTGATTTTTAAAGACTGGGTTTATTTGTGCTGAGGTGATGGATATCCACAGCGGTGGTTCTGTCTCCTCATCTCCCCGATCCCTCGCCAGGGAAATCCAGCTGTCGGTTAGGACACCCTGGAGGGAAGCACACAGTTGCTGCAGGAAATGGTGGCGGGGATGCAATAGGTAGCCAACTTCCCCGAGTCAGTGGTGCACCAAAACCCTGGGACGCTTCCAGCCCGCGCCATGTAAACCCATTGCTTTCTCCCCTTTGGAGGCCTGTGAGAGTAAGCAGGGAGAGCCTCTGAAATAATTTTTTGCCACCAGTATGGCAGATGAATAAAACAAGTCTGGCATGGTTAATCGCTACAGAATTAAGTAACCAAATCCAGCCTTTTGCCTCGCTTCTGAACATGATGTAAAAATAAATTAAAGCGCTTTCTAGCAACTTTATAAGGAAGGGTATACTGAACCATGACTATCTGACAGTCAAAGTAAATCAGAATAATTATCATACCTAAGGTTCTGTAACATTAATTTAACAGGCTTGATGAAATTACATCCTGTCCTTAAAAACCTGTCCGATTTAAGAGAGAAACTTCTATTAACTCTTGTGAAGAAACCGGTTTGGTTTGGTCTTTGCTGGCTTTTAAAATAGAAGACAGAAACGTTGACACCGATTTCAACATATACAAGGCAATTTGAGATGTGTCCTCTGCACAGCCTCCGTGCTTAGAAACAATTACCTCCAGGACTGCAGCAGACATCCCCTCCGAAATGGAGCTGTTCACTACGGCAAAGCATCTTTTCACAGCAGCATGCAGATCATCTTGAGGTATCTCCTGTAATAAATGCACCCCAGGTGACCTAGAAATAAAACGGAAATAGTTAGGCCATCTCCTACTGTGCACTAAGGAGTTTATTTCCGAGAATTTAGGGGAGCTAATTATAACCTAGGGGTTACAACAAACCTGGCAGTCAGGAATCGTGGTCCTGATATCAACTCTAACAATGACTTGTCCCTCTCTTTTCCTCAGTTTCCTATCTGTAAAATGGGTACAACAAGAGTACTATTATGAGTCTAGCTATAATATTACTAGATCCTTAGATAAGCTTCTGTTTGTATGAAGTCGTAAGACTAGAATCGGTGCAGTAGTTCACACTTCTACTAAATAATATAATTGTCTCATACGTACTCCAGCAGTGCCTCCAACATGTTATCTGAGACTGGAGATCCACTGCACCAGGTGCTGTATAAATATACTGTAAACCTTGGTGTCTTCCCAGAAAAGCTTATGGTCTATATACAGACATGACAGGAAAAGAGGGTGAGGATAAACAGAGGCATGGAGAAGGGCAAAGCACTTTAGTAAGGGATCTATGAACATAACTCTGGTTCCATTGAGTCCCAGTTCATCTACCTTTCTAGACCGTACAATTCTGGTTTTGTAGCATTTACACCAGGTTGTACAGGTGTAAAGTGACTGTACAAGCTGCGGCAGAATTGGGGCCGCATGCCACACCTGGGGAATATAGACCGTCACTTAAAATAACCTGCATGAAAAGGTTTTGAGCCAGCTACCCAGAAGAAGCCAGGAAGCTTTCTTCCCAGGAATGGCACTACAGAGCACAAATATTGTGCAGATTTTTAACTGTGCCCCGAACTATCCGACCGGCACTAGCAACCAGCCAGGAAACCGGCCTCTTGTTCTGTTCCAGCCAGGCAGTTCTTACGTACAGCAGAAGAAAATCTGCTCCCTAAAATTTATACGCTTCAATTACAGAACATATAAACTTGAGACAAAGAAAGGCCACGGCAGGTTATCTTGTCCACCCACTCACTTGCCAACCACCAGCATGTCAGCACTTGGAGAAGCAAGGGCGAAGAGCAGACTGCAAAAAAGGCATGTAGATTATAAAGGGAAGGATTCAACCTCTAAATTAGCTGTGAGCTAGCACAGACTGACATGCAGGGGCTATCTGATTGTGGGAAATTGAAAGCACGTGTACTAGAGTTTGCATAGGGCTCGCAAATGAAATATCGGAGCTAGTTGGTTAGACGTGCAGGCAACGGACTGCACCCCTAAATGCAAGAATCTGCGTAGACAACAAAGCTCGGGAGCCGCCTACTTCTGTTTAAACTGACAAAGAGCATAACAGCGACAGCTTGCCTTTTAATCTTTTCTTTGACTTCGCTTACAAAGAGTGGGTCAACCTAAAAAGGAAACACACACAGAGTTATGTCTCCACATAGCAGTGCTATACACACATTAAAGGAAAATACAAACTTCCATGGGTCAGTATTTGCAAAAATATGCTATTCTTTAAGAGTAGGGGTTAAATCATGCCATAGAAAACTGCATTTGGTAGAGTCACATTTTGTTCTAGAGAGAAATGACCTTGAGATCAAGGCCCTGGACTGCTAGCGCATAGTTACCTGTGGACAACAGTACTCGGCTAAGATGGGGGTGAACATAAACTGCTCTGTTATTCCTCTTGCAGCCACTTGGTGCACTTGGTGCCCTTGGTGCACACTAGGAGAGCTTCCCCCAAGTTCAAAGTAGAATGAGTGAACTGGCATTTAATACCCACTAAGCATATACCCACGGGTAGTTGGTGCAGGGTCACAGTAATGGCCACTGACAGACGTGAAAAAAACCCAAGCAGCACTTTACTGAAAGAAGAAACGCATCAGGTCAACTTGACTCCCAGCATCGGGCGCTTCAGCAGGGCTTTTTGGCGCTTTTACCTGATAACTGATTCAAGCAACTATTAAATAAAAGCACCAAGAAGCCCCACTGAAGCGCCCGATCTATACAGACGGTGGGTGAGCCGGGTCAAACTACTGTGATGCCTCTTCTGGGAATGCGTTGCACATGGCACGGGGGCATGCTGAGCTGAAAGTAAAGTCCTGTTTTGGGGGTTTGGGGTTTTTTTTTCAAATCGTAAGCAGACGGTGCTGTAAAGTCAAACCCTAGCACACTGTGTGCTCCTTCCCTTGAGGAGACCAAGTTCCCAGCCAGATGCAGGTTTCTTCTTAGCCTTGGGCAAGTCGGTCACTCTGATCACAACTCTTCTCCATAGGATGGGTAAGGAGAATCATGTCTTTCCCCCTCTTCACAATGGAAGTCCTTGGGTACAGAGGTGGTCTCTTCTGGTCTACTAACTTCACTGCAGTGGGCCTTGGATTTCAAATGGCTCCTCAAAGGCTACTGTAGTGCAAATGATTATTAACTGGGTGCTGACGTGCCACATGGCAATCCAGTAGTGCGAAGACAACCTGCCCCAGGGATAGAAAGGAACCGGAGCATGATGCTAGGAGCTGGGTGCACCCAAGTGGCAGAGACCCAGCATTTGTCCTTCGTGCTGGGTCTGATGCTCTCGGGGCTGTCGGCAGAGGGAAGCAACGAGCCTTCCTTCCCACTTTTGCTTCTCAACACGCAGCCAGCCTCGCCCCGAATCCTGTGCTCTTCAGCATGCTGATGGCCATATTCAAGCAGATTTAAAATACTGGCATTGTTTGAAGCATTAGTTTGAAAAACTAATAAACATAAAAGTCTAAAATGCGTGAAGATAAAAGGAGAAGTATTCTAGGCTTATTAAAAACAGTTTTATAGACACAGGAAATGAAGTCAAGCAGACTTTATTTCCAGAGTGTCTCTTAAAGGCTGTTGCTTTAATAAGTTTTAAAAAAACAAATAGATATTTGGAAATCGGAACTAGACAGAAGCACGAAGGACAGCACAGGATTTGGGTTTTTTTACATTTTTTTTTTTGATTAAAGAGGAGGATTGAATACATTAAGTTGATTTATGAGAGGCTGCACAACGTGCAGCTTTTTAAACCTGGGGACAGTATAGTTTAATATCTGCTCCCCGCTCATGTGCTGCTTCTCCTTTTCGAAGGAACATATAGTGCGCAATTATTCCAAAGGAAGCTTGTCAAATAAATACCATTCTTTGCTATAGGTCACAAAATGCTTATTCAAGTTATTTCAAAATTTAAAAAACCCCAATCACACACTTTAAAGGCTTGAGTTTAAAACTGCTATTTTGTCCTTTCAGCTTGGGAACAATTTCTGCAGGAAACCAAAGGGGCAACCCACTCAGGGCACATGCCAATCTTTATGACACTTGGAAATTAATTCTTACCATGCATGCAATAATGAATAGCCTTGTAAAACTCTGTCTCATTGGGTATTTTTGATGGTGGTTGTGCTCAGGGAAGTTTGAGGAAGTTTTTGGTATTTGCTACTTCTAGCAGCAGACCAACAGATCAGTCTTCTGAATCAATCTGTCAAGTTTCAGGTTCCTCTGACATTTTATATTGAACTTCCTGACCGCTATTTCATCATAAATATCTTTTTTGGCTTTCCCCTAAAATACTACTTTTGTTGCTAAATTTTGCACTGAAGGGATTTTTCTTTCTTCCCATTAAAGTCAATGCAATATTTACAAGCGACCATGTGATTTAGTCTTTCCTCTTCTGCCGTTAGGAAGACGGCTAAAAATGCAGTTCGTCACTCTTGCGATTTGTTAGGTCTTGGTGCCTAACCCAGCCGTACCACGGTGAGGCAAGGAATGGCTACCTGTGTCATAAATACTGTCCCTGTCCGATGGATGGTTTCATCGGTAGAGGATCCAAGGTGCCTGGCCCAAACCGTGAGAACCCGGCTGAAACGCTGATTTACTTTCAAGGCAGGTAATGTCCTGATGAAGCAATTCTCCCGATAGCGACTTCACTACAAGCTCCATTCACGCGCTCATGGATGTAGACGGTCCATCCCAGACAAATAAGTGGATGCTCTACATTACCAATGTGATTACACTGGCACCCAAAGGTGCGGCGGGGTGTGGTGGCAGAACGGTTTCAGTGTCTTGCTAGAGATCCAGAGGTGTGAATTTGAGCCTTGATCTATGCTTGCATTAAAGGCTGCCTATGTTCATGTAAGCTGTAAATGGATTGCTTGTACGACTTAACTACACTAGTTCACCGAGTCACCTAGCTAAGAATTTGTTCCAACTACTCGGTTGGTGGAGTTGCTTAACGTCCCTCATTGTAGGCATTAAATGAGCAGACTGACCCTTTTTGACCAAAAATATTAGCGGCTTGGTTCAGAAAATGCTGCGTTTGGATGGCGAGGAACCACCAGGCCACAGTGTTTGAACCGCTGATCTTGGGGAAAAGGATGTACCTATGTAGCAAGATTTGCATGGTGTGATTCCTTGCACAGCCAGCTGGTTTATTTTGTGTTCCTTACAAACATGCCAAGCAGGAGTTTGCACCAGTCACCAGCGGTTCCCAACCTGTGATACGGGTACCGCCAGTGGTACGCAGACAACCTGTCAGCGGTACGCGTTAACAGATTTATTATAATTATTTATATGACAAAAATCTGCTGGTGGTACTCAAGGTCGACCTGAAAAATTTGCTGGTGGGACTTAAGGTTGCATCGTTTTAAATGGGTAGTGCGCAATGCGTCAGACTTTGGGAACTGCCGAGTACGTCCTGTTAAACAACCCCTCCCCTTCCCCAAAATATAGTTTTTTACAGGAAAACTTTTCAGGATTTTACATCTCATCAGTTCATAAGAGATCACAGAGAGGCAGCTGGCCCTGGACAAATAGTTTATAAGGGGAAAAGCTGTTGCACTGACAACACTGTGGATGCACAGACAGCAAGAAACAATATCTAATGGGACAGGTCAGCCTACTAAACAAGCACTAGTTTGCTGGCAGGCCAGGCATGTTTGATACTGCAAGGAGTCATGGATCGGACATTGCACCAAGACAGAGATGTCTTTGCTGAAGCACAAGGCCTACGGTGATCAAAATCCAGGAGGACCTTCTATAAACTGCTGCATTAAACAACTGGCAGCAACGTTCTTTGAGTAGATGTGATCTCTTTTATTAGACCGAGTAGTTGGAAAAAAGTACTTAGCAAGCTTTTGGGTGCAAGCTTTCAAACTTGCTAAGAACTTTTTTCCAACTCCTCAGTTGGTCTAGTAAAAGAGACCACATCCACTCAAAGAACCTCGCCTGCTTATAGACGAACATGGCTTGCCTGTAGACCAACACGGCTACAACCAAAAACCCAGCATCAAACAACTGCCATTTGAAAATGAGCTTAAACAAAAGTAGTGGTCCAGAAATGTCTTTGCTAGGCTGAGAAGAGAACTGCTGCTGTCTGAGCTTTGTGGGAAGCACAGCTCTTAGTGCATTTGCAGTTCTATCAAAAAATCGTGCCCTGAAAGCTACCCAAAGTTTGAAAGAGCTATGCCTGCAAACCCATTCGATAAGGACAGGTTTTGCTTGGTATCGGCCGCACGTGAGCTTCTGACACTGCTGCTGCAAGAGGAGGCTTTTTCATAGCTGTGGGTGACCTCCTATTAAAACCTTTGATCACTGACTGAGCAGGCGTACATCACTAGGTTTTGACTGTGCGGCTTTAAGACTAAGCTTGGGAATGAATTGCATATTCAATTGTTGTCTTGAATGCCTACAATGAGGGACTTTAAGCAACTCCACCCACCAAACTGCATCCTGCTGCTCAGGCAAGGTGATCTGGGTAGATGTGATCACTTTTATTAGACCAACTGAGTAGTTGGAGAAAAAGGTCTTAGCAAGCTTTTTTTCCACCGATTCAGCTGGTCTAATAAAAGAGATCACATCTGCTCAAAATACCTTGCCTGCCTGTGTCCTTAGACCAACACGGCTACAACCAAAAGTCCTGCGGCTCAGGACTCTTATTCCATTTCACAGTTGGCTATATCATTTTCATTGTCTTCTGGTTGATCTACTGCACTTCAACTCTGCTTGTTCCAGCCTCCTTGGCCAACAGCTGGAAAAGAAAGCAGCTGGAAGTCGTATGAAGCAGAAGAGCTGGGTGGTACTTTATGAGGGGCTATTGAATGATTTGTCAAAAATAAAGGCAGGACCAAGGAAGCTCTTCAGCAAATGGGACCCAAATAGTCTTGGCTAAATAGAACAATAGCATATTTATGTTCTGGCATTTCCAAAATGTTCAGGTTTGGGGACTTGTAATAAAAACCAAGGAAATTAAGCGCTAAAGATGGTGGTGAGGCGTCTTCAGGATTGTGGTTCAATCTTTGAACTAATAAGCGAGTGGTTAGTGCAATCGCCGAGGGTATGGGAGTGTTGGGTTCATGTCTGTCCTCAGGCTCAGGGGCTCTGGATGTATCTTTTTCCCCCCAAG